TTTAATTCTCTCTCGCATTGCTGGCAAGGGCGTCTGAATATTTTATCAAAAGGAATATTGTATCATGAATCTATGGGTAGAGAATCAAGGCTCAATAGTCAATCTCATGCTAGCAGGTTCTTTTGGGGGGATTTTGTATGGGTTGAGAAAATTGAGGCAGAATGCTCTTGAAGTGTTGGTTTTGTCGTGGCTTTCATATCTTTTCAGCATTATATACTCTTCTAATGAACAACTGTTTATGGTCTTAGTGTGGTTGTGCCTTAAGATAGTTAACAATGAGACCCCTAAATGTTCTGATGATGACAAATTTGGAGGATGCATTCATGCATCCCTATGACATCAACTATCATGGAATTCAGGATTTGAGGCATTTTTATCTTGCAGTTCATTTGAATAAATTTACCCCCACTACAACTTGGTAGAGATCACCCTTTTTAGCCACCTATGGGGCATAGAATACTATTAAACCGGATTTTACTCCTTGTATCTCAGTTAGGTTATTTTATCTCAGTTAGGTTCTTTTGAGGATTTTTGGATGCAATAGAGTATGTGGGCATGGGAGATATCTGCCGACTCGCTTGTATTAATTATTAACAATTTTTGATGTAATTCCAGAGTTGCACTCATGGAAACTTATATCTGAATTGAGTGACAGACATCGAGTATGGCTTCACAACTCTGTCCATTCTTTGGACCTGCACTTCTCTATGAGGTATATTGGCCTGGGCAAGTGGGCTGCAGCCATTGAAGGTGGTGCTCGTTTTGGATTGACCTTGTGCTATTGCTTTTCATTTTTAACTGGATGGCTATGTTATGTCAGTCTCTTGCAGCTTGTATTGGTGTGGTCACTGGAAGGAATCTTGCTCAGGTGCTTGTTTTTGTCTTAACTGTTATGTTTTTCTGGTTTCTTCAGCAATAGTTAGGTCAAAACATATCCTTATGCCTTCCTAGACAATTCAGATAGGGTTAAAACAATTTCCTACATATTAAACTGGATGACTTTTGCATTACAAGCTAGAGAACAAGTTTAGATCTCCTGTTCAATTTATTTGATTCTATTCTAAATCGCTTCGTTTACAGAAATTTGTAGTGATGTTTTTTAATGCTTCCACTGGGAAGTTGTTAGTTCTACTTATGATGGTACCATTAATTAGTTTTTCCAACTGTAATAATGCATGTGTATGGCTCGGCAACTCCAATTTATTTTGGAACTGCACCTGGCTTTCATGACTCGAACTTTAGTACAGTGGTTGGAGTTTATGACATGGCTCTGATGACTCAAACTTCTGTACAGTTATTTTTCCAACAGTACCATGATGAGTTTATAACCTGGTTCGTGTTATTAGGGACTAGGAGGAAGCAGGTCATGTCAGTCACAAGCTTGGATAGATGAGGAGAGTTGTGTTAGGTAGTCCAACCAGCATAAAACTTTGCCACTTCGTTTTTGTATAGCCGACCCCAAATACTTGGGATAAGGCTCGGATGATGATATGCCCTATGAGAACATGGCTTGTTCTTTAGAAATTTATTTTCGAAGCTATATCTGACATTGTGCCTATTCTAATCCTTCTTTTTTTCACCTTGACATGGATTATGCATTTTCATCATTTACATTGAGCACTGGTTGTCGGATCAGGTGTTAGGGCTACAGACCTTGACCTTTCTTTCTTTCTCTCTCTGTTATTTTTTTGGTTAGGGCTATACTGAGGGAAATAGATGAAACCAAATAAGTAGTCTTTTTCGAGGGAAAAAAAATGGCTACTAATTTAGAAATTGGTGTTTTCATCAATTAATATTCTCAATGTTTAGTGTTTCTCATCGCATTTGCAATTTTTTTTTTTTTTTTGAGAATGCATCACATTTGAAATATTGAGACTACAACCATTTAATGGTAGGCTATACTTTCCGAAATGGTATCTCAAGGGACTAAGAAGCATTCCAAGACACTGGAACATATGTCAACAAGTACGTCAATTTAGATTGGAAAACTTATATCATCATCATCATCTTCAAACCTTTTTCCCAACTAATAGGGGTTGGCTACACGAATCCTGGTCCGTCGTTCTGCTCTATTAAGGTCATACCCTCAGTGAGGCCATAAGTCCCCATACATTTTCTCACAACTTCTAACCATGTCCTTTTAGGCTTACCCCTTGCCCTGTTTGGGCCTTCCACTTGAATTGACTTGTATCTCTTAACAGCTGTACTGGGTCTGCGCCACACATGACCAGGCCACTTAAGTCTACTGTCTCTCATTTGATCGCCTATTGGTGCCGCACCTAAATTCTCCCGAATGTGTTCATTTCGGATTCTATCGCTTCTTGTCTTGCCATTCATGCATCTCAACATCCTCATCTCAGCTGGACTCATTTTATGGGTATGTTGTTTCTTAACCGCCAACATTCTGCTCCATTATTTAAAACTGTTTTCACAACTGTCCTACAGAACTTGTCCTTCAGCTTCATTGGTATGCGGCAATCACATAAAACTCCAGGTTGCACATCTCAACGTTGCCATCTAGCTCTAATTTGATGTGCAACATCTTCCTCAATCTCTCAAATTTTCTGGATTATCAACCCAAAATATTGAAAGTGTGCTCTTTTTGGTATTTTTTGGCCATCAATTTTAATTACTTCCTTGTCTCTACTCCTATTATTACTAAACTTGCATTCCATATACTTTGTCTTAGTCTAGTTAATTTTAAAACCTTTAGATTCTAGAGCATCCCTCCAAAGTTCTAACTTTGTGTTGACGTCGTTTCAGGTCTCAATGATCAAAACTATGCCATCCGTGAACAACATGCACCTAGGTACCTCATCTTGTAGGTTCCTAGTTAAGTCGTTCGTAAGTAAGACAAAGAAGTATGAGCTCAATGACCCCTAATATAGATGTATTGTCACTGAGGACTCACTCGTCTCTACGCTAGTTGTTTGTACACTAGTTAGTGCTCCCTTGTATATATCTCTTGATTAGAAAACTAATATAAGATTTTTAAATTGGATTCCTGCTGCCTTGAGAACGCCAGAACCCGAGCTTATTGAGCATGCTGGATTGGACTCTGCTGTTTACATTTGGATTTATCATGTGGTTTGAAGTTGTTTGTCGTGATTATACTTCTTGCCTTGTCTGTCTTAGCGCCTGTTAATTGGACTGAAGGTACATTGGAGCACCACTCACGTAATTTAACATTCAGCAAAATTGACAAAACTCTATATTTCCAACATTGCTTATGGATAAAAACGGTCTTGGACTCACATGACAATGTCATATGTTTTTACATTTTATGCTCTTTATAAAGAATATGAGACTGTAGCATCAATGAGGTTGCACTTTCTTGCATCAGAAGGTCTCCCATCCAGATCAATTTACAGTGCTTGTAAGAAATGTTCCTCCGGATCCTGACGAATCTGGTAGTGAGCTTGTGGAGCATTCAATCATCCTGATCACTACTGAACCCATCAGGTTGCATAAAATGCAAATAAACTTTGCTAAAACTAGTGCAGAAAAAGACGCATTTACAGAGTTGGCTTGACTATATTCAAAGCAAATATTCCAGAAATACGAGCAGGTGACCTACTATAAAGAGAGGTTTTTTAGGGCTTTGGGGAGAGAGGGTGGATTCTATCTACTTCTGAAATCGATAAGTTGTCCAAGGAATAAGAAATTGAGCAGGAGAGGGTTATAAGTGATCCTAAGGAATCCAAGATTATGGCTAACAGAGTGGGCTCCAGAGCCTCATTTGGATTCTCGACTTCTGAGATCGATAAGTTTTCAAAGGAATAAGAAATTAAGTAGGAGAGGGCTATAAGTGATGCTAAGGAATCAAGATTATGGCTAACAGAGTGGGCTCCAGAGCCTCATTTGTATTCTCAACTTCTGAGATCGATAAGTTGTTGAAGGAATAAGAAATTGAGCTGGAGAGGGTTATATATGATCCTAAGGAATCCAAAATTATGCTTAACAAAGTGGGCTCCAGAGCCTCATTTGCATTCTAGTGCATATACTCCATTTCTAATTTTTAAAGAGAAATAGAGGTAGATTACTGGGAATTTCAAGTGGAATTTGTGTGTGTGAGAGAGAGAGAGAGAGAGAGAGAGAGAGAGAGGGTAATTGAATGTTGAGCAGGAGAAAGATCAAATATAGCAAAATAAGCAAATAGGCTAGAAGTAGTTTGGGAGAGAGAGAGATGAAGTGATTTCTTGTTGGTTGATTTATTGCTGTATGATTACGTGGGTTAATTTCTTGCTGTATGATTACCTGGGTCATTTATTCTTATTCTCCTTGATGAGATACTGTATACAAAACATCTTGAACTAGCATACTTTATTTGCCTCACCCTTGTTGAATCCAGGGCCATCAGAAATTAGAATGTTGTACATGAAACATATCTAAAAGGAGCTAGACCTTGCTCCCAGTGATAGGCGCACTCTCTCAACTCTTGTTTGTTCGAGGGACACTACCTTCTGATCTACTTCCCGTGGTTACATTGGGATAAAATAACATGTGTTCTCTCTTTTTACATTAGAATTTTTCCATGAGCATAGGGTTGTGACAGTTTTGCCTTTCATATGGAATTCATTGAATATGTGGACTCGCAATACAAAAGTGGAATTGAAAGCGGTTTCTATTGGTACGATTCCGAGGTCCTTATCCACTGATCAATCCTTTTACCTGCCTAATAAAAAGGACAAAGCCAAACATGAAGAAAAATTTGAAGTTGCCGCTATATTGGCTGCAGTCGGTACTAGTCTTGGTGTGGTCTATACAGTTTTAGTAGCTTGTGCTCTTTTCACACTTTCTTGTGGGAGGTGTGCCTATTTGGAAGATGATTGCCACCTTTTCCTGTGAATTTAGGATCTGACCCTGCTGCTGATGTGTGCGTGGCTGTTGGATGGTGTTAACCATATAGATGGACAAAATAACTTCAAATTGGAGTTGTAAAGGTCATTGTAGTAGTAGTTATTTGGACATATCATGAATTGGAAAAAAAAAAAAAGAAAAATTTTGAATCATAAAGACTTGCAATTTCCCAACGCAATTGTGTAATATGAAGAATACTATTGTGGGATCAAGTTGTCTTGAATCTGGCAAGTGAAACTTTTAAGGCTTCAGAAGTATATGTAACTATGGACCCAAAATCTTGGAATATATTTGCATGAATTTGAAACAAAAGGCATACTTCAACATTAGTTCAAAAGTTGGAGAACTCCTGATATATTTTGGTTGAGAAATGGGGGATCTATATTTTTGTCAATTATATGCCATCGTTCTTGTCCACCAGGAAAAGCCTGTCATTATCCCTGATCACCTCAATGCAATCTATTTCAGCACCCTCTTCATTTGTTATAATCATATTTGAGGCATTGAGTCCAAACTTCTTTCCTGCAAAGAGTATTATGAAAAATGCGAAGCAATTGTATATGTTTGGTATCATGAATGTTTGTTAACGACTTACCTGCAATGTTCTTGAGACCTGCCAATGTGCTAGGAAGAGGAACCAGCTTTCCTGATTCCGAGCAGATTTCCCTTTCCCAAGGATGACCTTTATAAATGGAAACTCTAGGCAAGAACCCATTTCTTCCTATAATCAAATGTTCCCTTCTTGTTGGTCTTTCAGAAGGCTCTTCAAACACTGTAATCCGATGATCCAAACCTTGACTCTGTAACATTTCTTCCAAAACCGAACATGGCAATTGTTCAGGATCTTCTGCTACCATCTCTCTAACTGTTTGTCCCTTTAAGTCAGTCTTATTGATGTCAGCTCCGTTTGTGACCAAGAAGCTGACCATGTCTATATGTTTCTCAGTTATGGCAATGTGGAGGGGGGTTGACCCACACCTACTTGTTGAATTGATACTTATCCCTTGTTTAAGCAATTCCTGCAGCACAATGAGATTGTTTCTCTTTGCTGCCAAGCATAGGAGATCACCACCACAATCGGGATTTGTGATAGAGGCATAGTTGTATAAAAGCCTGAATATGGAGTGGTTTTTGGAGGATATTGCTTCCCATAATGGTGTATTACCACTATCATCTGCAATTTTTGAGAAAAATATTAGGATTTGCAGAAAGATTAAGAAATTTACGTGAATATTGATGAGGTTTCAGTACCTGATGTATTAACATTGCACCCATATCGGAGCAGAACATGGACACATTCATCATAACCTTTTGCAGCTGCTATATGCTGGTATGGAGAAGCATAGCTTAGTGAGGGAATAAACTTGATCACAAGAGGATTAAACTACTCAAGAGATGACATTTACATCTTTCATTTCAGTAATTTCTGCCATAACCTTGGTATTCTTTGTTTGCTAGAATTTGCCAAAAACTTGTGATGCTGTTTAGATAACATAGGTTTCTTGGCAATACAGGAAAACCCTGCATTAGCATTGAAAATATCAGGAGCTTAACTAAGACCTGCTGGTATTAAGGTCCATAAAAGGATCCTGTGTAGATTAGTCGAAGATAAGTTTTATGGTCTTTGGGACTTTTAACTTCTGGCAGCTCTTCCATCCTAGAGATTGTACTTTATTTGATTAGGTATTTGATAGGATGAGATGTATCAACATTTGAATAAAGATGTCTCAAGTGCATTTAAATTACAGTGAATTTCATTGTCTCCATTTTCTCAGTTGAGATGCTCTGGCTGATTGTGATAATGCTACGCAAGATATCCAGGTTCAAAAGGACTAGAAACATACCAGTGGAGTTCTTCCTCTGGAGTCCTCAGTATCAGGATCCATTCCTGTTATCAAAAGTTCTGCAAGAAGATCACTGTTACCTGTAGCAGCCACTGAACACATATCATTGGAACTCTCCAAGTCCGCATTTCGTTCAACTTTCTCTACTGTTTCACCAAAGTTTGAAACCTCAAGCTCTCCCAGATGCTACACATAGAGACACAAAAGAATCACTACTATTCATAAAAGAGTTTTAAGTAATCACATTTTGGGATCATTTGTTTTTCCTTTATTTTTATCTGAAACAGTTTTTTACAAGTTGCCCATGTTGTAAACATTTGGTTATATGGTATCAATTTGAGAAAGACATCAGCGACCACTGCTGGAATAAGTCAAGTGTGGTTGTGTGACTATTTGTTGGGAAGTTATGAATCCCTCTTCAATGCAATACCTGAAGGAAGTTTCTTAGTATGGTTATGTTGTCCTCGTGTTTTGCTTGCATGGCCTCCAATAACACCCGTCTATTTAGTCTCAGAAGCTGGGACAATGCCTTGGTTCTATATGTGAAACTTTGAGGCCTATTGCAAAGTGCAGCAATTTCTCCAAACACGTCACCTATAGATAAATTTCCTAACACTTGTTCCTTCTCCTCCTTGCAAATTATGGTCTCTACTTCTCCTGATACCAAGATATATATGTCGTTAGCTGCTTCATTTTGCATGATTATGTCCTCTCCTGGTGGGAAATACTCTGCTTTCATCTCTGTAACCTGGCAACAAATTTAGAAGCCAAAAAGGTCCAATCATTTATGCATGGGATAAAGCCCTAATTGGAGATCCCTTGTTTAAAACTGGCGGAAAATTTACGCAAAATTTGATGGGGATAGACCTCATCAAGTATATAGTTGTCTGTTTAAAGGATCTGCGCATACACAATTATGCATCTATACGTGTTTTAATGTATGTTCCGCGCCTTTGTTTTCATTAGTTTTCATCAAAATCATGAAGCCTGAATTCTTGGGTTTAGAAGAACCACAAACATAAGCCAATGGTTCCTGATTAAATTGTTGGCAACTTCAAATGAGATTGACCCTATCAAGAAACGGAGTTTGGTTGTGTTTAAATTTGAGTGTTTAAATTTGCATACATACACATGTTTTCATGTATGTCTATGTCAATGTTCTATATTTGGCTTGGGCCTCGGACTTGGCCTTTGGTCTGAGCCGAGTTTACTTGGCCGAGTCCTGCACGAGCACAAAACAGGCCCAAAACTCCAAACAAAAATGTAAATATTGTTAAATAATTACAAATCAGCAAAAACTAAATAAGTGATATAAATCATCAAAACTCTATAAAAGCAAATAAAAAAATTAGCGTATAGAGTGTAAAATAAGAAACATTCGCAAATCATCATGAAAAACATAAAATCAAATAGAAACATATTTCTGTCATTTATTAGTTATTATTTAACAAAAGATTGAATTTTTCTTTAGCAACGTTTAAGAAGGCCAGGGTTCTGAGGCCAAGTTACTTTGCCTCATTCAAGTTTTCGAAACCCTGGTCTATGTCTTTGGATATGTATGTATTGTGCCCTTTATTCCATTGAAAATTTGATTGAGAAAGTGTTGGAACTTTATATATTTTACCCTTATCTGAGAATATAAACTAACTGAATTCAGCCAAAAGTTTTTGTCCACAAGGCTGGAATTTTTGAAAGATTGCAGGGATACTTACTAGGATCAAGAGTAGCTCAGATGAAACACCCTTGAAGAGATACACTGGCTCAACGATTGGGAGGAATAAATGCCGACAAATGCTTTTACATATGGACTTGGGCAACTGCTCCATCAATTGCTGCTGGTTCAAACTCTCTGTTCTGTATTTGAGACACATATAGGTCAGTATTTGCCCTTTCAGTTTGGGTGGCAAATGGTTCCTGCATACAAAGTTCGAGGCTGCTTTTATGCTGTTTCTCTGCAAAAAACAAAAAGTTACCAAGTTTCGAAGAAGTCCAATTAGCTACTTTAACATATAACACAGAACCCAAGAGTTTTTGTGGCTCACAAATTCCATTGTTCGACGAGTCCCTTCGACGATCAGATTGGTCATGTTTCCTATTATGTAGGCTGTGAGGCCAAGATTAAGGAGCATATAAAAGATTATGAAGATCATCTCTATTGTGTTGACTGCATGGAGATCACCATAACCAACAGTGGTCATGGTTGTGATAGACCAGTAAATGGAGGATATGTATCTAACCCATAGGCCTGAGTCTTTGAAGTTTGGATTCCCAGAGCCTATCCATGTCCTTCCCTCTTGTGGGTATTTGTCTGCTAGGAAATAATAGAAGCACCCTGCCAAATGAACTAATAACAAGGTGACCTGCAACAAAAATTTCAATCTCTTATTTCCATTTAGCCATTTCCTCACCTCCATTTTTGGCCAACCAAAAGCTTATTATAGGAACAATCACTTACAGAGAGGAGCCTAGTGCATCTTATCCAGAAATAGCTGAACCTGATATCCTTTTCAATCCTGGAACACCACAAAAGTAGGCATGGAAACTTTATTTCATTTTTTCTCATTTTTTAAGCCAAGTTACTGTTTCTTTTGTCCTCTTCAGTAACCTCCATTACCTTGTGAAAAATTGCTTGACCCTCAACAAGCGCCAAAGCCTCAGCATACCAAGAAAGCTGCATGAAAGGCCACACCTATATTCTCCAGTGAATAGTTTTGTGAGAGCCCCAAACGGGATTGTAGAAACCAAGTCCATTATGAACCATGTAGAGATATATCTGAGAATCACAAACCAAGAAAGCGAGTCCCAAACCAGGTGAAACAGCACTCAAATTCCAGCAAAAATAAAAGCTTTGGTTCTTTGGGTTTTTAAAGTTCAAACCTAACTGCAATTTTTCTTCGATTATGAACCAAAATCTGGGTCTTGGGGTCTATGTAAGCCAGGAAAAATGTGAGAGCTATATCCATTGCAAAGAAGAGATTCACTATGTTGTCAGCAATGAAGAGCTCTCCCTTTGGTGTGGAGTTAATGAAGGCGATCTCGAATGGATACGTCCATGCTGAATATGCCACCAAAAGCACCATGAATGTCTCCCAACACCTGAAAACATGGAAGATGGAGAGAGAACAGAACACCGACAACCTGTTAAACTTGACTCTTTTGATAGAGAATGTATATCTTTTACATCTTTAATATATAGGCATTGCCTATCAACAAAATAATAATAATAAAAATGAGCCTGCAAGAAGTCAGTTATTTTTTAGCTTGTTTTTCTTTCAACCTGTATCCTGAGTCTAATGGGGAGATCATACTCCCTTTCGAATTGATTGGTGTCTGGCCACAATCAGAACTAGAAGCGCCCAGTGGTGGTAGCAAGAATTTTGAGAGGTTGCGCAGGTCGGTTACTGTAGATTTGTTGCCATCATCCATGACTGAACCATGCATGTTTTGATGGTAAATGTTTGATCTGAAGCTTGAGGTGTGATCTGAATTCTCTTTCCCAATTTTTTTAGACTGTTTTGGTGCAGGTTTTATGAGATCCATAGCCATTTTTAACATCTCTTTGAAGCCATTGTAAGCGATACCACTTTTCACTCTTGGGAAGGTGAGGATTCAGTGTCTGGATAAAATTACAGAGATGAACATGGAGCAATACACAAGTGATTTCATCCGTGGAAATGTCTGTAACTGTAATGACAGAGAGAGTGGAGTCTTTGGTTTTGTGAGGACTGAGGAGAATGGCATCTTTATTATCCATGGATTTTTGTTGTTTTAAGTGGGTTCGCTTTCATGGTTTATTTTGGCTGGGCTTGTGACTTGACTCGAGGGAAGCATCATTCTTTTGGGCCATGATATTTGCATGTTTTATGATTTTGAGTCTCTTTGATGGTACCTTTTGTTTCTTGAATGCATCGTTGGCTCTTCTAATATCAGATTACATTTTGCTCTTTAATTTTCCTCCCTGTTGAAATTGAAAGACTCTTTCTCTTGTAAAAAATATGAGATTTTTATTCTAAGGTTTTTCTTCTATAATTATCATGAAGCCCTGCAAAATAATTCTCTTAATGCGCTTTTGGTCAGCGTGAAAATATTTTTGTAATAAGTCCCCTCGTATGGTTAGGTGGGGAATTTTTTTCACGCTAATTGGCTGCCAAATGATGTGAAAAACTCTCATACCTTATTATGTAGGGGACTTCTTTTAAAATATTTTCACAATAATAAACTTCATGCATATACCGGCCATGCCTTTAAATTTTAGAGCAACCATGCTACACATGTGCTCTGCATAGATTACTGTTCTACGCAACACTAGTGCTCATTTTCTAGAAGCTAAGCTTTAATTCTGTCGGCAATCTGGGCCTCTGAATCGGAAAATACTCTTCAATCTGGGGAGAGTTTTTTGTGTTGTAAAGAAAATGGACTAAAAGGGATGGTATTATTTATGACGGTGAGGGTGTTGAGGAGATCTGAACCGTTGGTTGGCAACAAACTCTCACCTCACATTATGACGGGTATGACTGTGAATGACTGAAGGGAGGAGATGATGGAGAGAGAGAGAGAGAGAGAGAGAGAGAGAGAGAGAGTAGTTTAGTTTGTTTGTTTAGTTAGTGGTAGGGTGGTGAGTAGGTGGGTAGGGTAGGTAAGGTAAGGAGGAGGACGTCCGTACGTACGTACGAACTAACGTACGTCGGACGTAGGTGGTTAGTAGTAGGT